TAGTTAATATAATAAATCCACTTATATATATAATTTCAAAATATATATATATATTTGTATTTCCACTTGAAAAGGTAGGACTGGAATTATACATGAAAATGACTTGGGATTAAATGTTTTTTTTGTTCATATTTTATTGTACACAATTTAAAGAATTTATTATAAAAAGAAAGACTCCAAAAAATTGTCAAGAGGAAAGGGAGACGAAAAAACAAATTTTAGCTCCTCCCCTCAACATTATATACTAGTAAATGTAACTCCAGAAAATCCACAGATAATTAAGAATTTTCCATTTCACACTGAAAGTTGGCACTGAAATTTTAAAAATGGAAAAACTTTACTCACTTGATAAGCCAATGAAACTCTTCCTCCTTGTCAGAACAACCGTAATCAGAAGTCCATGCATGACCTAGAAAATGTATTGAATGAATATCTGAAATCAAGATGCTGAAAAGGCAAGTCAAAGGATATCCACTAACCTATGGTGAACTTGTGAAATCGAAGCATGTCCATAACACCAACATGAGCCAGAGCACAACCAAAGAGATCAGGTCTCTGCACAAAATGAAATCTTTTAACAAATTTATAATTTGAATATAATAATGATAACAAGGTATTCAAATAAAGTAAAATGACAAGTGAACCTGATTTATGCAAGCTCCAACAAGAAGCCCACCATTACTTCCTCCTTCAATGCACAACTTACTAGGTTGGGTATAACCTGAAGATACAAGGAATTCAGCAGCAGAAATGAAGTCATCAAAGCAGTTCTGCTTTTTTGAAAGTGAGCCTGCTTTATGCCATTCCTCTCCATACTCTCCACCTCCACGAATATTTGCAATGCAGAAAACAGCACCTAGATGCCTACAGAGCAGAATTCGACTGACACTGAATGATGGTGTTATACTAATGCTGAATCCACCATACCCATAGAGCAAACATGGGCGCGATCCATCTAACTTGATATCCTTTTCAGCCACAATAAAAATCGGTATCTTAGTGCCATCCTTACTGGGAATAAAAACCTGGAATTGAAGAGGCCCATGTCAAATGTCAAAGACGGGAAAGAATAAATGGAGAGAGCTAGTCTCCAACAATTTTCTGGGGGCGGCTACAGTTGAGTCACTAGATTTCAAGAAAACACTTTTGGACGAAATCCACAAGATAAAGCAGAATACTTCTTTAGGGATTACTGATCAAAAGAACTACTTAAGTTTCTACTAGATACCTAATAACTATCAGATAGTTAATTTCAAAAAAAATGCGAAATGAGAAATAACAACCTGATTGACATGGAACCCTGAGCGGTCAAATCCAGGCACAACAGTTTCACGAAATATCTTCATTTCTGGAACCTCACTTGCTAAGTTGCATTGATATATCACGCCAGGAGTAAGGAAGTTGGTAAAACCAAGAAAAAACATATTGTCCTCACGCCGTGCAGAAATTCCATACACTGTACCAATATCAATGGGCAACTGGTGTAGGAAGGAACCTGTTTCCAAGTCCCTTATCTGCACAACATACTTCACATCGCTCAAGTAACTCATAATAATTTGATTACCATTGACTGCAAAAGCTGATTGAAGAACATCTTTTTCAGCTTCTGGGACGACATCAGCCCAATTAGTTGGTTCATTGAGATCAACTCGAACTAATTTATATTTTGGAGCATCTTTGTTAGTCAGGAAAGTGAACAAAGTGCCATCATTTGCAACAGCTTGATAGTATGCATCAAATCCATCAATTAGCTTAACAAATGGGAGAAGGCTATTGTTTTCCCTGAACCCTTCAAAACCATTGGGAAGGGAGGACATGTCACAGTAGTAGACTTTATTGATCGGGTCACAGCTCTCATCAATATACAAGAGTAGGTACTGCATAGAAACATTTGCAAAATGGAGTTATCATTCTATGCGGTCCAAGTTTATAATATATGCTAATGTATAGACTATTTTAAAGGAAAAATTTTAGACAGTAACAAAAATCTTAGTAGTACTACCATACATGCTAAATTATAAGTCAAGCAAAACAACTTCCGAACACTAGCATAAAATTAATATCGCAATGATTTGCCCAAGGATAAAATGAGCTTTAAACAAAGATGTCAATTAAGTACAAAAAAGCAAGATGACAATAGAAATAGAAGTACTGCTGCACCAATACAACAATAAAAACAATACACTACTCTATCCTAATCATGCAGTGAAGGTTAATCAGACAAAAATTTACCTTTCCATCTTCTGTAACACTGGCCCCAAACTTATATTTGGGATTTTCAGGATCCTTCCAGCATAAAATATCTTCAGATTGGTCAGTACCCACGAAATGGTAGTACAACTCGTTATAAAGGTTAGAATTAGTCTCTGTTCCAGCATCTAATTCTTCTCCCTCGCTATAGAAAACAGAATACAGTCAGAACTATGGTAAAAAGAAGAACAAAACAAGTTAAAGCACGGTCAACCAATTCATCATGCCAAACTACCAGGATTTTAAGTTATTCCGAAAGTTTTTGCTCTACGCACTCAAACACGCTTTCCAAACCCATATGCAAGTTAAATTGAATTTAAAACAGATAACAATAACTTACGTGGGAGCTGGATAGCGGCTATAGAAAAAGCCCTTGCTATCATTGGTCCAGCTTATACTCGAAAACTTCACCTGTTACATGGTAAATGCAAAAATATCAGGGTTTGGTCACGGTAAGGATGTGTTATGGGAAGAAGATAAGATGAATGAACACTGCACGGTGAGCGTTGACTGCGTTAAGTGAAGCAACCGAAGATTTAAAAGACCATCTCTTTTGTTCTTTTGTTTCTCCCCAACTACGCCAAAATAGCTTTTGGTTAGAACCTTAATTTTCAAAAAGAAATTTTTACTGACGAAAAGATGACTAGCACCACATAGTTAACGATATAAAAATCAGAAGCTCGAGAATGACTCTCTTGAGACTTGCCTGGAATGACTTTTATCTCCCTCGTATGTAAAGGGAAAAATATAAAAATACATCAGAAAACCCATAGAAAGGAAAAGAATATACTACGGAAGCCATGATCAAAGATAAACATAATTTTGGTGCCATAGATTTCGTATATTAAGTAGTACAATACCACACTTCTTGAGACTCATGATTGTTTCGTTTCGTAATTCCAAATCTTTCATGATCTTACGTTTACAATTCTGCCATTTTTTATTAGTTGGTTGTTATTGGATCAACAATTGCCGTTTGTTAAAAATGCTCTCTTTACTTTTTCCTTAATATCACCCATGACACCGACATAAAGTACTCACCCATGATAAGGTATCAGCCTCCACTCTCTTATCCTCGACCCGCATAACCTTGATTGTCACCCAATCACTGCCACTTGAACTAAGCCCGTACGCCAAGTGCTTCGCATCCTTGCTAACTGCCAAGGTGTTCAAGGAGACTGTTCCATCATCACTGAGTGCATTTGGATCAAGCAAAACCTCCGGTTCAGCATCTAAGCTATCCTGAATCCATTAGTTGTTAAAAGAAAATTAGGAGAAAGACCAAAAAGAAAAAGAAAAATAGAACATCAAAACCCTTTTAATAGGCGAATTTGTGAGGCGTATAACTCTTCCCAATACCTGCACATAAAGGACATTTTGGGCTTGTAGTCCAGTATTGTAAAAGTAAAAATACTTGCTGCCTCGCAGGAAGGGTGTATCATAGCGTGGATGATCAAAAACCTTTGTAATCTTCTCGCGGAGCTTGTCCCTTACATCGCACTTTTTAAGCACCGACTCGGTCAAGTTCACCTGCTTCTGTACGAAGTCTTTTACTTCTTCAGCATCAGGATCTTCGAGCCTAAACATACAGACATGGAGAGGAAAAAAAATCAACAAACAGGGATTCTATTCCTCGGAAACAAATATTCGTCGGAGAAATCAAAACCATTTGTCAACAGAAAACGCAAACTTCAATTTTGCATTTAAACTAATGGATTGGATAACTCGGGCTTCGGCTATTAATCCTCTCACAATTGAGAAAAACCAAAAGAATGGGTTTGATCGGAACAAGGAAAATACATTCGCGCGGACCAAAGAGAAAGTGGTCAATGAGAGTCCGGGAAGTCAAATTCAAATACCATCTATAAGGATCAGCAACCTTGACGCCATGATAATCATCAACGACGGACTCATCTCTGCGAGCAATTGGATATTGAAGATGGAGGTCGGGAGAAGAGAGAGAGCCCATCGGCGAAGATACCGAGGAGAAAGAGAGAAAAGAGGCAGAAGATTTGGTTTTGGAGGCCTTGTTGTCGAGGTGGTAGGTCCGTTCGGGAGGAAGAAGAGGAGAGGGGTTTAATCTGGAAAAGACTTGGAGCGGGTCGCGTAAAGCGGGGATAAATTTTAGTCGACGTAGTAATGAATGTGAAAGAACGGCGAGCGAATGAGGACATGGTTAGCCGTTTGAGGTGGGTGTTTTGGGCGAGCAGGGCACTGTCGGGTGCGGGTTACGCCGTGTTGTGGCGACAGAGTGTCGCCATTTCGGGTCTAACAATGTCGCCATATGTGCATGGAATACGGACTTTTCAAAGTCAGTCGCCATCCAAGATTTTAGGACCATACCACCTTGTAATCTCCAAATATCTCTGCCTTCATTTGTACGTTTAAAATCTTTAAAAGAAAATTATATATGCTTAATTCTGTATTGGGTTTTTCATTTTCTAAAACTTAATAATTAAGAAATTCACTTTTTTTTTTTAAATTTGACTGTCCAAATAAATATATTAAGACTTAAATTACTACTTAAAAATTAAAAAAATTTAAAACATTTAAATATCTGGACTGAGGAAATCAAAATTAATTTAAATATTTATAGTTTGAATCGATTCGCGAACAGCCGTCTGCGTAAGAACAAATGAATGGCCAGTTAGTCGTGTTCTCTAGTATACAAGGTCATTAGTCTTTTGGTTCAAGAGAGGCCTGTTGTGTGTCCAAACGAGTACTTGTTTTTACAGGTCTATGCATATACATATACACAGACAAGAACTGCAAAAGCCCAAAGCTCAATATATATATATATATATATGTACATACCCATACAGAGAGATGGAGAGAGAGAGAGAACCATGAAACCAGTTTTATTTATTCAATCTGCAAACCCCAAACCTCAAACCCATTCTAAACCAAACCCATTTAAGCCCAATCCAACTCTTAAAATCTTTAAAACCCAAACGAGAAATTCCCAGCCCAAAGGCAGTGCATTTCCAAAAAGAGAAGACAGAAAAATTGTTACTTCTTACTGTTCATACTTTTCGATATATATATACCATAGAGATTCCCTGGATACAGAGTAAATAATACATAACAGTTTTGTATGTATGAGTGAAATGAAATGGTACCATAAAAAAAATGAGAAGTTATTTGTAGCACCACAATTTCCCATAAAAATACAAACATGCATGGTTTTACAGACCTCTCACCTACCAAAATACACACGTTTTGTAGTTGGACAATAAATTATTGAGGGTCTTTCAGTGTCCTTTTTACCACCCCGGGTATGTATCAGAATATATATATATTTACCTTAATTTCCTCAAGAATTGAAACATTTTAAATATATATATATATATATATAAGATATTAAAAATAAAAAGTGGTGAATAAATCAATATCTTAATTAATGACGTATATTAATAAATATAATATTTTTAATTTAAAAAATAGAATTAATAATATATTGACTGCTGTTATGTATCAATCTCTAAGCGAATATACGGCCTTCAACAAGCCCCTCGGCACTTGAACGGCCTTCACCTGCCAAGTAGCACGTTTTCTAATTGTCTTTAGTTTTTGGGCCTCGGAGGGAAAAGACAAATAACTTTCTTTTTCTTTTCCCGTGGTAGTTGAGCTTATGGATTGTTTAAAATAATGTGTATATTTGTGTGTGTGTGTGTGTGCGTGTCGTTTGGTTTTGTGTATATATATGTATATATATATATATACTGATACTACCTATGCATGTCACTGGCATATGAAGAAGCTAGACACTGTAATCACCGATTACTAAGAGTATGGATTGGGTGATCTTGCTAGCAGCACTTCCTCTTTTACTGGTTCTTGTCTTCCAAAAATACAAAAATGCGCCTCGTCTACCTCCAGGCCCGAAGGGGCTTCCCTTTATTGGCAACTTACACCAAATGGAAAGCCACAACCCTCAACATTTCATGCACAGGCTCTCCAAGATTTATGGTCCGATCATGTCATTCAAGATTGGTTCAAAGCGAGTGGTGGTGGTGTCCTCGGCCGAACTGGCTAAGGAGGCGCTCAAAACCCAAGACCTAAACTTTTGTAACAGGCCCCTCCTCTGCGGCCAGCAGAAGATGTCTTACAAGGGCTTGGATCTGGGTTTTGGCCAATACACTCCTTACTATAGGGAGATGAGGAAACTCTATGTGATCAACCTCTTCAGCCCTAAAACCGTTCAAAGCTTTAGTCCCGTAAGAGTTGATGAAGTGTCCCGTATGATGGACAAGATGACCAAAGCTGCTCTCAAGGCTGAGATCATCGACTTGAGCGAAATGATGTTGTCGTTTACTAACGCTGTGGTTTGCAGGACGGCTTTTGGTAAAAGATACGCCGAGTATGGAGAAGAAATGAGAAGGTTTATCGAGTTGTTGTACGAGACACAAGCCATGTTGGGAGTTTTCTTTTTCACTGATTACTTTCCTTATTTGGGTTGGCTTGATCATTTTACCGGACTCCGCTCTCGCCTTAACAAAGCTGCCAAAGCACTTGATATCTTCTTGCAAGGAATCATCAACGAGCGACTCGACCCAAACATGCCCAAACCCGAGAAGGAGTGCCTTATTGACCTTTTACTCCAGTTTTGCAAGGATCAACCATTTTCATCAGTCGAGTTCACTCATCAAAACGTCAAGGCACTCATCATGGTATGTACCTTTATATATATAAAACCAGCACTTCGAGTTCAAAATCAAGATAGCTGGCCAGACCATATGACGTCTCAAGTATATATACCATTAATTTGCAGGACGTAGTTATTGCTGGAACGGACACCGCGGCAGCTGCAGTGGTCTGGGCGATGACCTACCTAATGAAGAATCCGGAAGCCCTGAAGAAAGTTCAAGAAGAAGTGAGATCGTTAGTTGGGGATAGAGGGTATGTGACTGAAGATGACGTTCCAAATCTAACATACATGAAAGCTGTAGTAAAAGAAGCGTTGAGATTGGAACCGGTGATCCCTTTGCTACTACATCGGGAAGCACTAGAGGACTGCAAGATCGGAGGCTATGACATACCGGCCAAAACGATACTTCAAGTGAATGCGTGGGCAATCGCCAGGGACCGTGAAGCTTGGGGGCAGAACCCAGAAGAGTTTCGACCAGAGAGGTACATAGACAAGCCCGTTGACTATAAAGGTCAAGACTTCGAGCTAATACCATTTGGGTCCGGACGAAGAATGTGTCCGGGCATGCACTTGGGAGTTGCCATGCTGGAGCTTCCTTTCGCAAATTTGCTTTACAAGTTTGATTGGGAATTGCCTCCCGGGGTTAAAGCAGAGGAGATTAAAATGGATGTTATGACCGGCTTAGCCATGCACAAGAAGGATCATCTCTTGCTTTTGCCTAAGAAGCACATATGATATATGTATGGTAGAACGTCGCGACCTGTACTTAATTCAAGAAAATAAGTGTTTCGTGTTATATATTTACATATATAACACTCATCTTTTTAGTGGAGGAAACCCTACAGTTTCCTCTGAAAGTAAAAAAAGAAAAAGAAAAAAAGACCTACATGTATGGATTCATGGCTTTGAACCCAGTTTCTTGCTTGATTTGATCTGCTTTCATAATGTAGAAATGTATGTAAACTGAAATGTTTTTCTTTAAGCACTAATTGCTCTCTCTTTCTCTAGTTGCAGTATTCAATAAGATTAAATTACTTCTTGGAATTTTTTGGCATACTAAACAAGTTGTTCCTCACTCATATCATGCTTTTATCGATGTGTGTATTAGAAAAATTGGATGAGATTAACTTGATTCATTTGTTGACAAACACACACACACAACACTATATATGTGTATATATATAGATATATATGCGCTAAAAGCGTAAATAAGCCCTTAATCTATTAAATTGTTTTGATTAATTAGGGATTAGTTCAATTAATTATTTTTTCTTACCTAAAAGGTGCTGATGCAATGAATTTTGTAACCAGAAAAAATTGGATGAAACTTGAAATTTCTCCCTACAACAATTCTTCTTTTCTCTTCATCTCTTCCTACTCTTTCTTCCTCCTAAAACCTAATTCTGTTCTCATCTCCTTCTATATTTTTCTGTTTCTGCAACATTTTTTCTTCTTCTTCTTCTTCTTTAAAATCAGGATAGGACCCTGACAAATGGTATCAAACCCAACAATCCTCGGTGGCTACTGCTTCTTCTTCCACGTTCCTTCCTTTGATCTTCTTTGCTTTTCTCCTTGTCTCTGCTGCCAACCCTCTTCTCCTCCTCTCATTTTTTTCCTTGTTTCAAACAATGAAACCCTCCTTGTTCCTTCTTCCTTGTCTCTCTTCGTAGTATACGAATTCATATTTAAAATGTCAGTTCCAGCAATTATCGGCAAAGTCACCTTGTAACAACACCAAGATTATAAAATATCAAGATACCCACAAAGTCCAACAACAGAGAGTCACATAAGAAAATCAACAACTTTTACTATTTATCACTTAATTTCGTTCACAATTACTGCATTCGTTCATTAGTATTTTATTTTATAAAATTAGAATCTAATTTAATTTAATTTAAATTTCTTTTAAAAATTCAATTGAAAAAAGTTTGGTGCAATCAGCGAGGAGATTAGATTAGATTAGCTTAATGACAAAAAAAACGTGACTAATAAGACAACCCCCTTAACATTATCCTTCAAGAGAAATTTTAGTTTTCGCAGGTAATTTTTTTATGGCTGGATGAGAACAGAGACTACTATATAGTAAACTATAGTTAAACAAAATAATATATATATATATATAATAAGATATAATGTTCTTATTACATAGTTTGATAATTCAAATTCGAATTTTATTCTTACACTTTGGTAAAAAAAAAATCACATTCTATCTGTAAATAATTTTTTGGTTATTGAACTGTGCACGCAATCCCAATGGAAGCCCAATTTGAACAGAAGAAATGTCTCCAAACACCCATGCTGTAATAATAACGTAGTAAATTGCAATTTCCTTACTACTGATTTGTTCTTAATTATCAGTTTAGATTTGTTCTTGGTAATTTCTTAAGTCTATTTTTAAAATTTTTAATCTTAATTTTGAACTGATTAATCTTATACAATTTTATAAAATTTAATTGTATCGTATCATAACACGGCAACGAACTTTGGACTATTGACATGTTAAGTAAGTTAAAAATCGTAATTAGGATTAGTTCGAGTAATTATGGTAATTAAAACCGTATCGAATATTCATATTTCCTGTTTGAAACAAAACAAACAATCACGAAGATTAAAACTAAACCTCCCCCCAAAAACTGGAAAGTAACGAAGCGTTAACTGTGTTAAGCGAACTGGACCCACCGGTTTAAAATGAGAGCTAACAAGTTTGACGCGGCATCAGGGTTCGTGGAGAGCACGCTCCAATGGGGTTGTCGAGTGAGTTGATATTAGTGGACGGTTAAGTTCACCGTCGAGATTAGAAAGGACGAGAGTTTGTAGGATTAATTAATGGCGATTGTCAGTGTTTTCAATCATGAGGCTACGTATAAGGGGGGGGGGGGGGGGGGTCCTTTGGGAGGGTGTAGAAACGGACGCTAGGGCTGCCCTGCCCTTAAAAATTAAAGGACCTGCTGCCCACCCCCTACAATTTTCTTTTTTGAATTAATTTTTACTTCTTCCAACTTATTTTTTACATAACGCAAAATGGTGGCAGACATGCATGAGCACAAAAAATCCACGCCTTTTGATTCTGTGATGTGATGATCAATCAAATATGATTATTACGCACAGCAACATCTTTGAATTTCAATGGAGTCATCATCATTTTGGTCTCATGGACTCTCAGAAAGAAAGAAAAAAAAAAAAAATTTATCCCTTTCTTCTGTTTCTGCATCTCTTTCTGGGTTTTCTACACCTGCACGATGCAAATATAACTGACCGACCCAGTTATTTTTTAAAAAAAAAAAAAATCTTCCATCCTCGCTGTGATCTCGAAGAATATAATTTATAAACAACAAAACCCTAGAGATCAATATCCCCACACATCATCCATATGTATGCAAGTAGATGAAAGGGTGATGAAAGCATATCAAGATGTATATATAAAGAATCTAAAGAGAAAAAGAGGAACTAGGGTTTCCAAGTAGAAGTTGTTTATAAGATCTGTAAGATAAATAACAAAAACATTGTAAAACTAATTAATCAGCAGATCGAGATGTAGAATATATGCGAGAGTTGCTAGAAGGGATATTTATCAAGATAACCCGAAAACTACAGATGGAAAGAAGAAAGCACAGTAAATGGATTGGCAATACGTGATCTCAAGGGTTTCCAAGTAGGAGTTGCCCACCGCAGGATCTTTCATCAACGGAAAAAATAACATAGATTAACAAGAAGAAAAGAAATAAAGAGGAGAGGGTCGAAGGTAATGATGGGTTAGTATGCATGCTGATCTGTTTACCTTGATGTTTAGCAGAGAGAGAAAAGCTGAAAGATGTGAAAATATCATGAGGGTTTTACAAAGAAAAGCTAACAGAGCTCTGTTGACAGTATGCCCACCTCCTTTCCTTGTACCTTTTTTTTTTTTTTTTTTTTTTTGAATTGGTCGATGCGCAGTGGAGGTGGACAGAATGCCAATAAACTCTGTAAGAAAGCCTTTGCTAAACCCACATGAAAGCTTGGATTCACCATTTGAAGAGCAGAGACGAGAGGACATGTTAGAGGAAGGGGGCAGATGGGTTGTATTTAAGAGGCCAAAGGGGAGTAAATAAGAGAGAGATAGTGGTGGGTATGCGTAATTAATTAAGAGATATGGGTAAAAAGAAAACAAGAAAAGACATAAAATTATTAAGTAGATAGGATTGGATGGTTCATTCTCTGTATCAGAAAGATCATCATGCTTATTATTCTTTCTTCTTCCCTCCACCCTCCAGTCTCCAGTCTCCAGTCTCCAGTCTTTTCTTGCCTTGCTATCTTATCTGATGCACCTCTATCCTATTTATCCTTTTTCAATCTCTTCTGTCTTAAACCCAACAGAAAGGATTTGGGTAATCTAATCTTGTTTAGGGACCCAATAATGACAAAACTAATATCAATATCAGTTGAAGGACATATACCTATTAACTAGTCTTTTGCCTTCCACCCCTTTTTTTTTTTTCTCTTGTTTCCCTTCTTTTTGTTAATGCCTACCGTTACATATATCTCGTGGGAAGCATGGGGCTATATATCTCATCATCTAATCTAGACCGTTGATTCATGAAATAAACACCACACTCAAATAGGGAAAAAGTCAAAAAAGAGACCTCGGATTACCTCTTCTTTTTGGATCAACTGGAAAGTGGGTATTGCTGCCCCGTCCATGTTCAAACCCACTTCACCTGCACCATAAAAATGGTGTAAGTGGGGTAATAAGGTTTCTTTCTCTTCCAACCTATGTTTTGTATCTTTGTCACTAACTCACTTTACCTGTTCCGAAGGAGGAGTAAGTTACTGCTTGCTTGCAGTGGGTTAATGAATTTACTTGGTAAAAAGCAACATTAATTCTTCATTAATTTATATTGACTTTTTTTTTTTTTTTTTGTAATTTAAATTTATGTACTTTTTTTTTTTTTTTTAAATTAGTTCTTACCAGCTTCAAATTTTTTAATTAGAATGGTCAAACACTTTTTACTACTATTATAAAAAAAGTCCTTATCAAATGTTAAAAAAAAACATTAGATTATTTGAAGTAAAAATAATTAATCCAAAGCTAGAAATATAATCTATAAATATAGGTAAGTAAATAATAATTTTAATTATAACTATATCTATTAATTTTAAGTATATTTATAATTTTATATTTTATTAATTGATTAATGTGATGATTTCAAAATAAGAATAATACTAATTTTATTTCTAGTATAAATTATTTAAATACGACACATCTTATTTCGTCGCTACATATAATATCAAGCTTTGTCTAGACTACCGTTTCACTCTATTGCTCCATATTAAGCTCATAAGTTGTAGTTTTTAGGAGTTACGAACCAACAATCTTATTCAACAAGTGACGAAGGAATCGAATTAACTAGTGAATTATTCAATTCGTCGATGTTTAGTGTATATTCAATTATTTTTTTATTATAATCTTATATCTCTTTTGACCACGGGTGTGTATGTGTGTATATAGTTATTATTTATAAGATTATTTATTTAGTTGTTATTTATTCATATTTATTATGTAATAGATTTTTTTTTTTTTTAAAAAAAGAACATGTATAGCATGCAATACATTATTACTACTTTTCATTAAAGTATATCTTTAACATATCTTTTGTGATTTGTGACTTGTAAGTTGGACAAATTTTTTTTCTAAATGTGAAAGTAAAAGAAGTACATTCTATATTGCCTTAACACCTATTAATTTCTAACCCACCAAATTTTTTATAAAGCTACACATCTATTTGCATAAGATCAGTTTCGAAATAAGTGGTCTTTATCCTTATCATGTTTTTCACTTATAGGGCAAATAGGTCAAACATTATACTTTGATAGTTTAGTTAAAAATAAAGTAAAATAATATCAATCGTCAACATCTGATGTAAATATTTTACTTTCGTAATAAGCAGGATATCCTAAGTTGATTTCTTATATAAAATCGTAGTATTTTGGAAACCTAAGGAATAAGATTGAA